TTATGCACAAACTGTTCATAGGCAATTTGGGGGGTTTTATGTAAATAAGTGAATTATTATTTCTTAACTAAAATGCGAACAACCTTCTCTCATGTATGTGAGGACAGAAGTAAAATGGTTCACTTACTTAATGTCCACATTAGGTTGTATACCATGAAGTCAATCAGTGTAAAAAGTGGGGCCAGGCAGTTATTCCATGCTGACAATGTTCTTTTATGATTAATAACAGACGGCAACAAGTACTTCAAGCAAAAATGACCATCACATTTTCATGAAAAACACAGTTCTGGGCCCTCCCTGGTGGCGCAGCGGGTTAAAGCACAGCAGCGAGAATCTAAAGCCACTTCCGCATGAGTTGGATTCCCGCCTGTCCCGGAGGTGACCACATGGCGTGGCAGACCTCTCCTGACCCGCCCACTGCTCCCCTCAGCAGTGTACTTCATGGATCTGCCTGTTCTGCTCCCCACTCTGTCTCTGGTGAAGCCTCTTGCCGCCCCTGAGCCTCTGGCCTGTACCCCAGTTCAGTATGCACAAATAAATAAATCTTTAAAAAAAAAAAAAAAAACACAGTTCTGCCACATGTTAGTTGTGTGTGACTTTCAAGTTACTTAACCTGTGTACCTTATCTTTTAAGTAGAGTTAATAATCACTCCATCTGTTGGGATTCTCACACATATAACTTAGCACACATTAGTTAGTTATTAGACATAAGTTTAATGTTCACCTTGCCTTTGGGGTCAGCATAATGATAGGCTTTTTCCTAACCAAAGAATAAACTGACAAACAAACTATGTTGGTATGAGCAGTTAAGTACTCTAATGGAAGATTTTCATCTCAATTTACATCCCCTATCCCCTTTGACTTATGTCCTTATGCTTACCCCTTAATGCCTAATTCTGCTTTGGAGATTTACTATCTTGTGCTAAGCAGTGTCTTCTTCCTAATGAGATCCCTAAAAATGCAAATGCTCTGGGAAAGGATAATGAAGGTCATTATCACGTTGTGAGATTGAATTTCTGTGCTTTTTCTCCTACATGTAGTATCTCACTACATACGTGGTACATGGAAAAGGATAAAAGGACTCTGAAAGGGGAGTGAAAGAGCAAAGGATATATTTCACAACTTTGCTTGAGTAATCTTTGTCAGTTAATTGTTTATTAGTTACCTTTTGAAAAGAACCTTGAGGAAATGGTATTAGTGGTTACCTCTAAGTAAGGACACTGGGTAATCAAGAACAAAAGTGGGGTGAAGGGGGGGTACACTGACTTTCACTGCATAGCCTCTTCTACTTTTTAGTTTGGGAATGAAGTCATGTATAACCTATTCAGAAACTTTGTTTTTAAAAACATAGCCTTCCCCTCTCAGTTGTCTTATTTCAGCTTTGGATATTTGCTTAAGGGGCTCTGACATATGGAAGTCAACTTTATTTTTTTCTAAAAAGTATTCATTTAAAATATGATTGTCTTCTCAAGGCTAATTTATTTGTCTTCAAAGTATTAAACATATTAAAGTATTCATATTCTCGAAGACAGAGTTATCAGGTAATTAACATATTTATGACTTTCTGTATGGACAGTTTTCTTCACTAAAACTTACATTTTCTATATGCAGAAAGGGCCTGTGTTTTACTAATTTTTAGAGACTCCATTGTAGTAAACTCTGGGCTTTTATGGAAAGGCTACTTTCTTGAGTTTGTTTTTGAGTTCTATCTTCCAAGGCAGAAAAGTTATTTAATGTAACACGATGTTTTGATTATGAAGGAATACTCAGGATTGTTATATAAACAAAACAACAACCAGAGACAGAGACAGCTGAAGGGAGCAAGGAGAGAACAATAATTATATACTACCTAAACTTGTGATGAAACTTTGAGATTCTATTGATTGGGAATGCTTGCAAAATACCAAACAAATCACTAGGAGAGCTAAAGTTGACCTAAAATCATTGTCACATTTGTTCACCAAAATATTTGCTGCATGAATATTATGTGCAAATGTTGATCAATGCAATCATGATTCCTAGCTTCACAATTTTCAGATTAGTGGCCCACATAGAAAAATAAACATGGTAAATACCACATGGTTACTACCATACGACAAATATTATAAAAGGAAGTACAGAGATCTATAGGAGTTCATAAAAGGAAAACCAATTCTATGCTTGGGATGGTAATATTTAAAACTACAGTGACGGGACCACTGCCTTAATGTTCTGCAAACCAAGTTGTGGTTTTATTGGCTCCACTATATTACCTTGGCCAGTTTATTTAGTTTCTCTAAACCTCAGGTTCACCAACTTTGAAACAAGAACAACGTAGTTCTGGGATCAAAGAGATGGTGAGAGCAATCAATGAAATGCAATTTACAAATCTGGTACAAGATCTGGCAAATCCACAGGTAACAAGAGGTAATAGTAACAGCAAGCTGGGAAGGATGAATAGGAACAACCTGGAGGACAGGAAGGAGGAAGTGTGGCCCGCACAAAGGAGAAATGCATAAGAACCTGGTTTGTGCTAAAGCTTAGGAAGCACCTGGAGTGGGGCTGAGATGCAGCTCAAGTTGGAAATGCAAGCAGAGCACAATGGGTTTATAAAACTCATTGGAAGGCCTTAAGAAATTTAGCCAGAGGAGAGACACGACCAGATCTGAGTTTCAGAAAGATCAGCTTGGTTACAGTGTGAAGAATGGAATAGAGAGTGAGGTGGTTGAAGACAGGGGCATCAGTGAGAATAATCTTAAAGTGCTTTGACTGACGTGGAACTTCACAGCTAAGGAGGCAGGTGTCATGTCAAAAATACATATAACAAAATCTCCCCTCCCGAGAAGGTCCTTGAAGTAAGAATGTTCAGCTTATTGGTATCAGAAGTAGCATTTTATTCATTCATTTATGCATCCATACATCAAGCATTTATTAACATCAAGCCAGGCAGTGAAGTGGTGCTGAGAAAGATCTCAAAGTGAGTTACCCTGATATCCCTGTTCTCCAAAGCACCCACACAACATTACTACCTATATTTCTCACCCTGGCTGGAAGATTCTTTAATGATACAGCTCATGTGCAGTGCCCAAGGTAATTTTGAGGAGAGACAACATGGCAGCATGAGACTCAAGCTTAGAGGCACATAAGTTTAGGGTAGAACCTAAGGCATGAAGTGTCCTTCACTTTGGGAAAGGGAACTATCAATGTGATTTTATCAGTGTAGGGTAGATTCCTTACTCTTCAAGGAGCAAATCTTCCATGATCTATTTTTAAGTGGTTTATTAAAACATGTCATTCAATGTGCTGTCCAATAAATATCAGATGGATTCATTAATTTATTATAAAAACTCTATGAAATACATATTATTATGTCCATTTTACAGGTAAGAAAACTGTAACAAGAGATGCTCGTCAAAGACAAGGAATTAGATCCAGGCTCATATTCTTATTCACTGCTCTATGTGGTCTGGTTGAGGGCTGATGTAATAAACAAGCCAAATTAAAATGTATGCCTGAAACTTTGATGGGGGAAGAAAGGTATCACCCCACTGAAGTATCAAGAAGTGCAAAATTTAAAATATTTTATTAAAGGACTAAATGAGATAGAATGAGTAAATATGGTGGCAGTCTCTTGGTTCTCATCAAATAAGAACTACTGTGAATGAGTTTTTGATACCTTATTCTTCTAAGTACAAACTTCAGTTCTGCCATATGGCCTGGCATACATTAGAAAGTATTCAGATGATATTATTACAGGCTTATCAGTTTAAAAGGGAGTGGGTCATCTCAGAAACTCAAAGATGGAGAGGTGTAGTGAAGGAGATAAAAGAGCTAAGAAAACGAGACATGTTAGTCTTTTAGATTTCTGCTGGGGTAGGGTGAAAAAGATCTGATGATCTCAGTGAGTAGTAAATGGTATAAGCTTATTTTCTCTATCATGTAAGGTTCTATCAACCAAGTAGTGTAACATTTAATAAAAAAAAAAAAAAGGTTAATTTTTACCAAAAGTTTTAGCAGGTATTTCCAATGTGAAGTGAATAAACACAAAATAGGGGGTGGGGAACCCTAAACCTCCAGATACTAAAGAAACTAACAGCTCCTGCAATGTTACTGGATGTACTGGATGACAATAGTGTCAGAGAGTCTTAAGCAAGACTGCTTAGCGGACAGTCAGAAGAATCCCAGACCAGATGGCATTTTAAAATCCAATCTCACTCTATTTGTCTCTCCCCGTGAATGTACCTTGTTTTTAAAGCAATCACAGCCATTTTCACAGGTTGTGATATTTTAAAGACGTCTCTAGCCCTGTGAACACAAAAATCTCTGACTGCTGTGAACTTAAAAAATATATAGAATATAAACACTTTGGAATCTGTGAAGCAGCCATTCCGATTACACACAAATATACAACATACTACAAAAGTACAGCTTTTTAAGCCTAGTTCGTCCATGCACCTTCACCGTGGCTCACCAGCACGGTCCTTACACTCGTTCATCTGCCAGCCCCTTTAGGTGGGACGATTCACCCCTGCAAAGTAACTCAGGAAGCCCAGGTGTGGGCACTGACACCGTGTTAATTCACCTGACCCACCCTGCTCCCAGCTCCAGGCAGGACTTGGGGGCTTCAGTATCACAGCCTCCACCGCTCGCCTGGAGCGCCTGCAACCCGCTCCCTGGGAAACACTCAAGAGTTGCACAGTCCTTGCCACTGTGTAATCGTTACAAATAAAAAATGCTTATGAGCTGGATTCCCCACCCCACCCACCTGCCAGAGTCCACACCACCGACTCCCTCGCCTCGAAGGCACCCAAGCTGCGCCGACAGCCGGGAGACGTGAACAATGAACTTCTCTCTCCGACTCTTTCTCACACCCTCCTCCCCCCACCCCCAAAGGGAAGTTCTGAACTCGCCAGGGGGCCCCTTCCACGATTTTCCCCGGCTGCTCGGGCGCCGGCGGCGGGGGTGGGCCCGGCACGCGTCCCCGGCCGCGCCCCTCGCGTCGTCGCCGGGCGGACACTCACCTCCTTCCTGCGGCTCGGCGCCCCGGGTCGGGTGATGAGGGCGGTCTCCTCGCACACCACGGCCACGTCCTCCACGAACACGCAGTCCGGGAGGCTCTCGTCGGCCGGCAGCTCCATCACCTGCAGCCCCAGCTTGCTGCCCAGCACGCCCACGTAGAGCTGGTGCTGCCGCTCGGCGCGGGCGAAATCCACCTCGTCGCCCTTGGTGCGCCTGAGCGCGTGCTGGCCGAGGGACTCGGGCAGCTTCCGCACCACCGCGTGGGTGACCCGGCCGAAGGCGGCGGGGTGGCTGAGCGCGGCCATGGCTCCA